CCAAATCCTGCCCCAATTCCAGCCCCCAGTCCTCACCCCACTGATCCAGCTGTGCTGGATCCCAAATCCTGCCCCAGTTCCAGCCCCCAGCCCTCACCCCACTGATCCAGCTGTGCTCCCCCCCAATTCCAGCACCCAGCCCTCACCCCACTGATCCAGCTGTGCTCCCCCCCAATTCCAGCACCCAGCCCTCACCCCACTGATCCAGCTGTGCTGGAACCCAAATCCTGCCCCAATTCCAGCCCCCAGCCCTCACCCCACTGATCCAGCTGTGCTCCCCCCCAATTCCAGCCCCCAGCCCTCACCCCACTGACCCAGCCCAGCCCCAGCTGGGACAGAGGCTCCACCCAGGCACAGTTGCTGTGACAGAAACCCCAAGAATGCAGGAGGGTCCCACCAAGGCAAGAACAATTCCGGACCCTCCCAGCTCCTGACGGAGTCTCAGGGGTTCGTCATCGGCGCTGATGCAGATCCACACCCCAGAGCACAAACGGGATCCCCATGACCCTACAGCAGCTCTGGGACCCTACAGGAGCCCTGGGACCCTACAGGATCCCCGGGACCCTACAGGAGCTCTGGGACCCTACAGGATCCCCGGGACCCTACAGGAGCTCTGGGACCCTACAGGAGCTCTGGGACCCTACGGGATCCCCGTGTCCCTACAGGATCCCTGTGACCCTACAGGATCCCTGTGACCCTACAGGATCCCTGTGACCCTATATCAGCTCTGTGTCCCTATAGCAGCTCTGTGTCCCTATAGGAATTCTGTGACCCTACAGGATCCCCGTGACCCTAAAGGAGCTCTGCGACCCTAAAGGATCCCTGTGTCCCTATAGGATCCCCGTGACCCTACAGCAGCTCTGTGTCCCTATAGGAATTCTGTGACCCTACAGGATCTCTGTGTCCCTATATCAGCTCTGTGTCCCTATATCAGCTCTGTGTCCCTATATCAGCTCTGTGTCCCTATATCAGCTCTGTGTCCCTATAGCAGCTCTCCTCTGTCGGGCTCCTCTGGCAGAGCTCTGCTCACAGCCTCGGCTCCAGCCTTAGGCTCAGCTCTGTGGGAAAGCTCGGCTTTGGAAAGGCTGAGCTCTCTGCGATGAGGTTTTGGTCATGCCCGGCGGTTTCCAGGGGGACGAGGTGGAGGGACCAGGCTGCTTTGGGATGCTGTGACCCCCCCCTCCCCTTCCTGTCCCTCCCCCACAGCCCCGAGCCCTTCTGCTCTCACAGTTCCTGCAATTCCTGGCCCTGGGCTTCGAGGCTTCCTCCACCATCTGGGCTCCATTTAGGGGAGCTGATGTTTTTCACAGGGCTGTAATCTAAACTTTGGGATTGAGTTTACATCTCACATACCAGCGTCTCACCACCGGCTCTGGCGGCTGCCAGCCCTGAGCCAGCAGCTCTGGGTACCTGGGAACAGGGATCCCAAATCAGGGATCCCAAATCGGGGATCTTAAACCAGAGATCCCAAATCAGGGATCTCTAACCGGGGATCCCAAATCGGGGATCCCAAATCGGGGATCTCTAACCGGGGATCCCAAATCACGGATCCCAAATCACGGATCCCAAATCAGCGATCCCAAACCGGGGATCCCAAATCGGCGATCCCAAATCGGCGATCCCAAATCACGGATCCACCCTCAAGCCACCTCTGGATCTCAGGCACTGCCCCTGCCAGAGCCCAGCAAGCCAAGATTCCATTATTATTTAGTTATTATTCTGTGACCATTATTATTCTGTGACTTTTATTATTTTGTTATTATTCTGTGATTA